AACTTTTCTAATAACAGCCGCTGCCTCCTGGCAGACACAGCCCAGAAAAACCAGCTGTCCTGGGGTTTTTCAGGCAAGATAATTAATGTGTGATGGCACTCCACTCAAAATGATTTAGCGACTAGTGAAAAAGTAAGATATAATACTGAAGCTTATATCAAAGTCACAAATTGGGTAGATTAGGTGGAATTATTGGACTTTCTAGGGCATGTTAGGTTCACTGGGAGGCGGATGGTGGGCTGGTGACTGTCTAGTCTCTTCAGTGAATGTGACCAGGTGATCCAGGCCCAAGATATTTCTGTGTGCCCTGCCTAATCCTAGGCACTTTCTGTAAAACTTTGACTTAGGTTCTCTGGCTACAAAATAAAACTCTCCACCCCGGGGGACGAGGAAAGAGCCTGACTTCTAGGTGGTGTTACTGATACTACAAATAGGACGACAATCAGGTTTCTGAAATGAAGGGAGAAGTGCAGGGATTTTTTTTTTTTTAGGTCCTTTGCTTTTAGGGAGAATGCCACCCCCCCGGCCCCCATCGTGCCTCCAGTGCCCGAGCAGGATGCTGGCTGGTTCTGTGCAGCAGACCGCCACCTTCTCCTCGGTTGGATGCAGGGCCACTGAGTATTATGTGTCTATACGGATCATCCTGCAGATCTGTGTATTTCCTTCTTCTGCTCAGTAGGTCAGAGCTGTTGAGTGCAATGGGATCTTACCAGATGCCTTTCATCTTTATCAGCTCATGGGGCTGGGAGTTAGAAACCCCTAACCTTGCAGCCTATGGCTGTAAAAGCCCAGGACACCCCCCAACCCCACCCCCTGCCAAAACTGCTTTTTCATTTTCATTTTGATGTGATTTTCGTTTTCTTGAGTTTTGTGGCGAAGGCAAATGTGGTCAGCATAGACGTGAAGGCAAATGCCAGTCTCCCAGGACCTGCTTGGGTCCTCTTCCCAGGGAGGAGCTCCTCCTTCCCCTCTCGTCCCTTCCTTTCCATTCTTCCTTCTTGAGTCTGCTAAGGGCTATGATGGGCTTAGTCCTGAACCCAAAAAAACAGCCCTAGGTGAATGCCCTCTTCCCATCAGGGCTGTGGATGTTTCTCTAGGGCCTTACCTGACCCTGCATTTTCTAACCCCACCCTTCACTCCCGGTTCCTTCAGTAACGTTTAGAATATCGAGAAGCGAAAGCTAACCATTCTCATTGAATATGGATTCCACCCCAACTCAGAGCCCTTACGTTTTCACAGTTCCCAGGGAAGATCTCTGTATGTGGGAGACACCTGGAAAGACAGGAGAACCTGGATGCGGCTGGTCTGCTGCAGAGCCACACCCTGGCAGGCGGAAGTGCGGTTTTACCTTCTACTCCATATAAGCCTGAACCCGGCCCTCCTGAACACATTCTCCACTGTGGAGCCAAGCCTCCCTGTCACTCACTGTATCTCGTGCCACATCCAAGCATCTCTGTGACACAGGGAGTTGACAGACTTGGTCAGGTGCTGATTCCACACCATTTGTCATGAGTCTTTGAAAACAGAACCAGAGCTGGCCCACAAGCAAGCTGAGCGCAGAGGTTTCCTCAGTCCTTCTTATCTTCTGACAAAAGGTCTTGCGTTTTCATGAGATTTACTTACTGGATCTTAGCTGTGTAACCTCTTTCCTGACGTTTCACAGGAAGGATCAGAGTAGCTGTGGCCACCGTGGCCTGATGGGAGATGGAAAGACAGGGAGACAGCGGCTGCAGGGACATCTACCCCCTGGTAACACTCCCCAAAGGCTCCGAATGGAGAGGTCTGCCACGTAGGGTCTGCTCCAGAGTAGGAAACATGGTGGGGGAGTCAGCCCCTACAACAGGGTCAGTGGGAGAAGACAGCCAGCAGCAATAAAATCAACACATTACCATCACCCAGCTTGGCAAAGCAAAGGGGCAAACTGCAGTTTGGCACAACTCTGTACAGACCACCAAATTCAAGCTTTTAGAAACTCAGTTTTGCCAACTTGTCCTCTGAAGGCAGAGCGTGCATGCGCAAGGGCTGGCAATGTAGGCATCATCTGGAGGTGTCCTGACGAGGGTCACCTATTAGGCTGCAAACCTGGAAGGCCACTCTAAGCCTGGGGTGTCAGAGGCAGCATGAAGGTAAATTTTTTGAGCGTTTTCAGATAAGCAGGTAATTGGTGTTATGAACGTGCCAAGCTTTCTCAGTTTGCCTGATTTAGGTTCTTAGGAATCAATTAAGAACGACCTTTACCCTTGGGTCTTTAAGTACATTTAATACACCCACCTGCTGATTTTTTACTATTGTTCTTTTTTTTTTTTTTTTTTTTAAGTAAGTGATCGTGCCTCATCAAACAGTAATGAAGGAGGAAGGCCTCGAGCCGGCTTATGTAAGAAATATAAATCAAGGTCCTAAATCACTAATAATTGGGTAGGAAAGTTGAAACTATATGTCCTTCCAGGTAACTGCGATTCTAATTTTCTCCAAAACTGAGTTATCTGCCATCAGACAAAATTTGCTAATGGCCTCACTCATTATTACAGATTCATGTCACTGCTTGCGAGAGATGCTTGCTTTCCTCTTCTATGCTCACAAAATCGCAGCCTTGGGCAATTCATCCTGATAACACCAAGAGAGACCAAAATACTTGCTGTATCATTTAATGACTCTTGGCAGAAAGGAAAAACACTTCACTTGAACATGGTATTTTAAAAATATGTATTTTACTAACTTTCATGGGAAATTTATTTGATGAAATGCCTTTGTATATTACTTGGCTGATTTTCATTTGTACTTAACAATTTGTCTTAAAGTTGATACATGAAAATGAGATGAAAATATACAATGTTCCCCATAAACCAAACCTAGGAGAGATGAAACGTTGCCCCAAGTGAAATAGCTGAATTCAATGGATGTTAATTACTTTTTGTCCCCACGGGCTCCCCCGCCCCCACCTTAATTTCTTCTATTTTCCCGTTAGGTTGCAATCATTAATTTCAAGTTTGGTCCCATACTATCCATGAAACTAAACAAAACGTGTGACAGCCGAGATGAATTCGGTGCCGCCTTTTGACTAAGCAGGCAAGTGTCCTTTTCAACGCCAGCCTATGCCTGTACCCTGGTGGGAGGGTGGTGGTGGGGATGGCCCATGGCCCTCTCAGTAGCTGCTCGCTTCCACGCCCTTAGACCGCAGTTCTCCTAGTGATGAGCTGCCCGCCGTCTTGGGAGGCAGCTCCCGGCCCCTACTTTCTACTCTCAGGTTGTCCGGAGACCATACCCTCTTGACTCTGAACATAACAGCAGCCCATGGATTCCTTTCCACAGGGCAGCAGTAACTTACCAGGATACATGTTTTCCCTTGAATGACTCCCGAGGTCTCAGAAGCCACTCCTTCCTGCCTGCTTTCTCTAATAGCTCTTTTGGGTGCTGAGACTCTAACTGTAAAGCTTAACACTCACCCAGTGGAAGCAGCAGCCTTACCGAAAGCCTCCTTAATGATGGCTTAGGCAGGAAATGGAAATGGCTTGCGTTATCCATCCTTTGAAGCATTTCTAGTGCTCAGCCTCCATGAAATGGATTGCTTATAGGGAGATAATGTCTGTTCTATTCCTTTTTAAGTCTGTGAAAAATGTCATCCTGGTTAATAGGGTGATTAAAACTCTTTATGCTCTAGGAGATAAATGTGATTATGTTTGTCATACTCTACCCAAGATAAAGACAGCAAAGGAGGCAAACTTGAAATTCCATCACATTTCCTCTCTTCCATATCCAGGGACATTCAGAGCTCAATACACAGATGGTACGTCTCATAAAGAATAACATTATCTGTTAAACATTTTTCCTTTCCATTAACCAATTTAACAATATGCCTCCGGTACAAAAGGAATAGACAAATGACAAAATCCTCTGATACTCAAGTTCTGACTGTGGCGAATACCACTTGAGTCATGCTGCTTTTCTCTTTTAATTTTCATCTGTCTGTGACTTCACTTTTGCTTTTAAAATGCAATTGGAGCTGAGGCTTGGTCCCTCTTCTAGGGAATTGGACCCTGCCAGCCTCCCCTCTGCAGGGGATTCATCGTTATTCTTATGGGAGTCCCCCTGCCATGGGTCAAGGACAGCAGAGGTGATGTATGAGGGTTTTGTAGACACGAGGCATGCCACTCTAGTAAGTATTCGGACACTCCTTCAGCAACACACGTCTAGGTGTCCTCTGCACCAGCCCTGTGGGAGAGCAGCGCCCCACCATGGCCCCTGGCTCCTTCCTAGGGCCTAGCTGCCATCAGCCCGATGTGCAGCAGCCTCCCCAGCAGTGGTGACACCAGTTTACAAGGCCCTGAGATGGGTCCCTACCCTCAGGGAGGCTATAAGGCAGGAATCCATGAAACAGAACCACAGTTAACAATGATTTCTCCTTTAACACTCCAGACAGGCGGGAGAGTCTCTTTTCCTACCCAGTGGAGGTCTAGAAACCACTCAGCATTCTCCATCTACAGAAAGTAACACCCAGATTCCAGCTGTAACAGTGTTAGGTAGCGCCCACTCTTTTCTTCCCCCACATCAGTTGGGTAATTCAGTGCAGCCGTTGTAACAAGGCTGGAGGGCCATCTCATGCACAAGCTTGGAAACCTACGGTTAGGAAGCACCAAAGGACCCGGTGGTGTGCATTCTCTTCAGGGGAATCTAGATTCAGACTAATTGTGCGGACGAAATCCTGTTCCTCTGGCTCTTGCCTTTCCTTCCTCTCATTCAAAGGCTACAAATCTCTTCTCAGAGATTTAGTTAACATGAAAGGCCGGTGAAGAGTCTTTGCTCCCCACATTCACCAACCAATTTCCCAGTCCTTTCCTTTCAGTCTTGGATTTTTAACAGATTACACATGAATCCCAGATGCTGACACCTGCTTCATTAACAATACAGCAATTTTAACAGGGTAACATGGTCTAGAGAAAAGTGTTACATTATGTACTTGACATTTCATTTAAAAATCTCCCTTAGAATAAAAGGTTTCATGATAACAGAAATTTCAAATGTCCTTTATTGAACCTGATTGCTGACTAATTAGAGCCTAGGCAAGTGGAAAGAAACCGCACAACCGATACTTAACTAGAGGTTACTTCTGTGGACACACTGACATATTAAAGTATTTCTCTTTTTAAAAATATTAAAAATGCAATTGTACTAAAAATAATTGCATGTAGACATTATTCTGTCTGTTTTTTGTAGATCATGGAAGACAGGAACGAGTTGGGTGTGCACGTAGAATTGACTCCAACAGCTTCATTAGGGAGGTGGTACCAAACACTTAACATTGGGACTCAGAACTCAGGTGACTTTCTGGTTAAAAATACTGAAGATAGCTGACAATTGGGCTTTTTTTTTTTTTTACTTTGACAACTGAGACAAAATTACAAATTGTCAATGTTCAGAGATCCAGACCAACTTCTCAAAAAATATTTTTTTACCTCTGATATCATCATTATTTTAGCTCAGTTGTGCCTCTTGGAGTGATCATAACTCATTAATGGCTTTTTAAGTCTAAGAATTTGCAGGGCCTTCAAGCAAGGGCATCAGGTAAGTAACTCACTTGCGTGTGCTGGCTGTAAATCACAGACCACACTCAGGACACGAGAGCCATACCCACCTCCTACTATACAGGACTTACCAGGTGACTGTCACTTTGTAGTCTGGCTAATTGGAATAAGACTTCCAAATTCTGTTATATACTGACAAGAAAGGCTCTTGAAACTCCTTTAATTAGACACATTGCAGTACAACTGCTATTAGGGAGTCTGTTTCATAAATATTTTTATCATACTTTTATTATAAACTTTTTTTAGGTATGAAACTCGGTTCAACTGAAACTTCGTTCAACTGAAGCTTTGTTCAACTGTTACAAACAGAATTATTTCCTCTGGGATCCCCTCCACATAAGGAAGTTATCCCTGTAATTACTATTTGTAAAGTCTTCTTAACTTTGAGAAAACGTTACCCTCCCCAAGACGCACACACATATTCTCCTGTGATGAGGAGGATGAATGCTATCCAGCGCGTGGTTCAGTCTGCGATCTGCCATGTTCCTGGGGAGAAATCAGTCCCAGTCCCTTTGCTGTCATGGTGTCTCCAGAGCCACCGCTTTCTGTAACAAGCATTTTGAAATTCATTCATGCTCATCTCATTCGGATTTCAATGTTTCTTCCCACTCGACAGCCGATTCGGAGTTCTTAGGAATTGCTGGAAATATTGATTGCATTTTACTTCGAAATTCTTTCATCTAAAAGAAGAAAAACAATCAGTTATCAAATGCTAAAAGAAGGAGAAAACAGCTATTAGAGATGGCACTTTTGCTGACTGGCTAGTACTTCACGGCTCACAGGTAAAAGAGCTAGGGAATATCAATAAAAGTTAGGGACTATATATATTCTAGGTACCTTGAAAGAAAATGAAATATACTTCCTTTCTTTGAGTATAAACTTATTATTAAATAACATAAAACTTCACTCTTAGCTGGACATGGTGGCTCACACCTATAGTCCCAGCTGCTCGGGAGGCTGAGATGGGTAGATCAATTGAGCCAAGCTGGACAACACAGCAAGACTCCATCTCTTTAAAAACAACAAACCATTCTTAATCTACAAGGCAACATGTCCTGAACTGTCAACCCTCCATAATAATTATTCCCTCCCAGGAGAAGAATGCGTATTGTTGGCTTTCATATATAAAGATGCAGTTGAGGATGGGATTTCTAACTGAACAAATATAATTAGGTCAATCAAAGCTCAAATTTTAGAGAAGAGAGAACGGGCAGACAGAAGAAACTTAGTAGTTTAGTAAAGAATAAATCAAGGAATGGTTGATAAAGTAGAATGTTCTTAGATGTTAGATAGTGGTGTTTCGTTTTTGAGACAGGGTCTCAATCTGCTGCCCAGGATGGAGTGCGCTGGCACCATGGCTCACTGCGGCCTCCACCTCCCGGGCTTGAGCGGTTGTCCCCCCTCACTGCCCCCAAGTAGCTGGGACTCCAGGCATGTGCTAATTTTTGCATTTTAGGTAGAGATGGAGTCTTGCTATGTTGCCCAGGCTGGTCTCGAACTCCTGAATTCAAGCAATCTTCCCACCCTGGCCTCCCAAAGTGCTGAGATCACAGGCGTGCACCACTGTGCCCAGCCTAAGAGATCTTAACACATAGTGTCAACACAGTATTATTACAGTTCACCTGGAGCACCTGGATCCACCTAAGGTGTACAACCCCATAAGGTGGGAACACTAATTTATGGAAGTTAGGTGAACTTTACACTGGACAGTACTAGTAACACACACTCTGATTCCTCCTGGTTAATCTATACGGTCCTTCTATGAAGGTATTTCAGCACCACCACAGCACTGTTTTCCAAATTTTTCTAATCAGCCATCTGCCAGTCATATTTTCCTAAGGATAGAGATTTCCTTGATCAGGTTTGTGAAGTACCCTGGACTCATCTGCAAAATGCGAGTCATTTCTTGGAGTGGTTATTTTGAGAATCAGCTAATATTTCTTTAACGTTGATGCTTATTTATTTCAATTTGAGGCTGAATCTTCACCTTATTTCCAAATTAAGGGGTGCGTCTTGTTTGGGACTTGTAAATCCTAGGCATTTACTCCTAGCACTGCTGCAAACTGTAGCACAGCATGGACTCTGCTCAGATCCTAGCTCCACCACCTGCGAAAGCTGCTTACTCTCTTAAGCCCTGGTTTCCACATATGTGGAATAGAGACAGTAATTACCTGCTTAAAGAGTTGTGAGGATTACGGCGCATATAAAGCACAGCATCTAACACGTGGAAAGTGCTCAATACACATTAGCTATTATCACTGCTGTATTATCAAAATAAGTGTGCTATATTCCAGGAACAAAGCTCACATGGATATAAACATTATGGAATGTCTGTTAAGTACATTACTTTATAGCCATGTATCATTTTGGTTTACGTATTCCGTCACTGGAAGATATGTAAGGTCTTTTTGGTTTACGTATTCTGTCACTGGAAGAGACGTAAGGTCTTTCTCACATATTATATGTTGTCTGTATCTGTGCCAACCATCTCAATGTTCTGGACCCAGACACTAATGTTGAAGACAGACAGCTCATGGATGTCTCTCTCCCTACTCCCTCTTCCATAAAGAATTCATTGCTTTGTCCAAAACATTAATATCACCCGCACTGAGGAACTTTGTATAGACTTTTATAGTTGAAACAGACATCTCTCTGGCCAGGGTTGGCAATGTGCTGCCTGGTTCTTTCTCTTCACTCTTCTGGTTGAACATCTTTTACAACTAAGCCAGATGACACAGTTTTCAAATGGGATGTCAGATGGCCAAGACATCAACAGAATCATTCACCAGTCTCCCTTCCAGTGGTCCCAAATGTGGTCAGCTGCTGAGAAGGGAGAGGCTGGGAAATGCAGGCGAGGCCTGGGGAGAGGAGCAGAGGGTGGTGAGGTCGGAGGAGGAGAGAAAAGGATGGTGAGGACAGGGGAGGGGAGTGAAGGGTGGTGAGGCTGGGGGAGGGGAGTGGAGGATGCCACTGCACCCAGCCTAGACAACAGAGTGAGATTCCATCTCAAAATAAAACTAAACAAAACAAAGACACAAATAGTACTCCCTAGTGCTATGGGCCCACCATCCTCACCTGTGAGTCCCATTGCCTTGGTGCCCACAGTGCTGTGTTGTATATTCACAGAAAATACCACTGTCTCAGCTAGTAGTGCTCAAATGGAGTGTCATGACAAATGGAAAGTGTAAGTAATTTGTCACAAATATGGACATTCTGTAGATACAATGGCTTTTTTAGATATTAAAACAGATTTAGGATTATGCCTCTAATAATGTTATTCTCGTACACATTTCAATAGCTTCTTGAAGGGCCATGAAGCCAGTAGGCCAAGAGTGAGACCAACCACTGATGCCACTTAAGAGTGTCCTTACTGTATACCAGACAAATTTCTCATCTAACCCTCCCAACAACTAAGTGGAGTAAATATCATCCCTCTTTTAAAGATATGGTGATGGAAGCTCAGAGTAACTAAACAATGTGTTGTGTCATGGCTGGTAGGAGCAGATCCGACCACACAGCCCATGTGCTCACTCTGCCTACTACTTGAATATGCACATGGGACATTGCTACACATTTACCATGCATGTCTTGGTAGGGGGAAAAACATCTGAAAACATTTGGTCTAACATACAGTGTGCTGAAAAATTACTTAAAAGCTTCAGGTTATGTCCCCAATTTAATTAATTTCAGAAAATCCTTAACCATCAATTGGAATAAATAGGCAGCTGTTGGAATTAGAAGTTCTCAGTTTTGAAATGTTTTTGCCATTGTCTGGCTCATTTACCTTCTCTTTCTTCACTTGTTGGTGCAGGACTGTTACTGCCCTCAATGCTGGGGGCGACAATGATGAAAGCGCTATAGGATCACTGACAAAAAACCTTTGGATAATGTCAATAATTACAGAGTCAGTGGTAATCTTCAACAATCTGGGAATACAGATTCTTCATAAAATACAACAGATTAAGACTATATAATACTAGTACCAGGAGATTAAAAAGCATAGCTAGGTTGTAAAATGTTGCTTAAACAGGAATAATATCTGACATTTGGGATCACTTATGTGTCAGGCACTGGACAAAGCATTAGGCTATGATTCAATCTTCACAATTCTATATGGCAGAAATTATTACCACCACTTTACACATGAAAAACCAGAAGTCAGAGAGGTTAACTTACCCATAGAGACATGGCTTATGAGTACAACTGCCTGGCTGATGCCCAGAACCTAGAAAGACAAAGTACCTCTGTATCTTCTACCCATCTGCCAGCTTTCCCTAAAAATTACATAAAAAGCATAGATGTCTCTTTTAATGGCGACCATTTCATTTTGAATAGCGTATGCTCATATGTAGCCAGTACTCACCTACTTTTGCACATGGGGGAGTTGTACTTCCCCACCTCCTTGAAGTTCGGTAACCATGTGACTAGTTCTGGCCAATGAAATACGGGCAAAAAATGTGTGTCACTCCCTGACTGAGCACTTATTCGCAGGGGTTCGACCCTCTTTCCATAGCAGTCATGGAAATCTGTATTGCTATGGTGGTGCTGATCCAGCATGTGAGGAACAGCTTTTTCCTCAAGAGTTGCTGAAACCCATGGGGGGTTTACACAGTTGAGAAATAAACCTTTGTTATTTTAAGCCTCAGGTTTGGAGACTACTTTTGACTACAGCATAACCCATCCTACTCTGGCTGGCAAAGATGGTGAAGAGAATTATAAAATAGACTTAAGGCCTGCTCTGATGCCCTGTAATGGTACACTATGTTTGGCTGAAACACGAATAACAACTAAAAGGCTGGATAAGAGGGAGCAGTATTCTGCAGCTGAGCTCTCAAAGGTCTTAAAACCGCCTAGAATTGAACCACCTCTCTTCCCACTTTCAAGGAGCTCAGCACATCAGTGAGTCCCATTGCATGACACCACTTCCTGAGAAATCAACATCTCTAGATGTTTGCAATAAAGTAGTATGGGAGCTCTGGTCAGTGTAGAAAAGGGGCAGTTTTTTTGAGGATCACTGTCCTGTTTGATAAAATTGAACTAAGCAGGACTGGTCTGGTTTAGAGGGCAAATACTGACATCTTTCACTTTTGACTAGTTTTGTTGCTATCCAAACTGGATCCTGAGATAAAATGTGTTTGAATATATCATATTATTTATTTAATACTCAACTGCATTAGGAAAGCTAATGCAAATTTTTACATCTCAGCTTTCCATTTTCTAAGCTACTAATACTATCATTTAGGTAAATGTCAGACAGACATTTTTACTTTCTCCCCAACTTTCACTGTATGACATACATAAAGGCCAGAATCTGTAGTGAAGTTGATTTAGAAATCAAAGCAAACTTGTAACTTTCTGAGAAATACGATCCTGAAGTATGCATCAAAATGATCAATTTTTAATCATAGTAAAAAAGGCACAATTCAAAAGCAAAAACTTTCTGGAAACGTGAAATAAACTGAACAGGAGGAATAATCCAGGAGCTTCTTAGAACCAGGACCACTTTGAGGCTAAGATCCAGCCTAGTACGAATGATTTCTGACATGCTTCTTGATTTAATGTGCTAACAGGTCAGGTTCTCAGGGGCAATTCTAAAATGAATTTCACTCAGTCAGGCTTTTATTTTTAGTAACTGCAAAATTTAGGGAAGTTTCCTCCCTGCCAAACGACAGTAAATATACCACACCTCTGACTGCCAAGCCTCTTTTTTTTTTGAGACGGTGTCTCACTCTGTCACCCAGGCTAGAGTCCAGTGGTGCTACCTTGGCTCACTGCAACCTCTGCCTCCTGGATGTCAGCGATTCTTCTGCCTCAGCCTCCTGAGTTAGGAATACAGGCGTGTGCCACCGTGCCTGGCTAATTTTTGTATTTTTAGTAGAGACAGGGTTTCACCATCTTGGCCAGACTGGTCTTGAACTCCTGACCTTGTGATCCACATGCCTCGACCTCCCAAAGTGCTGGGTTTACAAGTGTGAGCCACCACACCCAGCCTGTCAAGCCTCTTTCTAAAAGTTTTCTCCATTACTGCATTAAACATTTTATAACAGCTACCATCAGATCATTATTTTCATATCTTAACCTAATGATCCTGCCTTACTGGTGTGCACACATACACACATGTGCGCAAGTACACACATGACCAACATACAGTCCCCACTTCATGTCTTTTTAAACACCCAGCTGAAAGGCCATCCCAGAGGAATGAAGGCGGTCTTAAAACGGATCCATTACCAAAAATACTTGCATGTAAATACTTTTAGTTTTACATTGTAGAGGAAGCTACCACTTTTTTTTACAGCATATACATGAACATAGGTATAAACCAGTAAGAATGAAAGAAATAGCATATATCTAATGAAAAGAATCAGAATTTCCAGAACACAATAATACCTACATCCTACTTTTTGGGAACCAAATGCCAACTACATATATATAACAAGGTAAGTGCTGCTACATCAGAGGTACCAAAAACACTTCTTTAGGAATTGTAAGTAAGTTTCGTCCAGCACCTGGATGCTAAATAAATAGGAAAGTCACTCTATCCACTTTCCTGTTTCCATCTTTTAGGAATTCAAGTTTATTAAAAATTCTGATATATAATCCTGTATCTATGATCTCTTCAATACTTTCAGAATGGTAGTTTTGGACCACTTTAAAGCTTATGCTCCTTCTAAATTTCCCAAAGTGTTTTTGCACTCTTTTTCAGATGGGCCTCCTCTTCAGGGGTCAGCTTTATCTTTATTAGGTTGGTAATACCATTCTCTCCCAGGATACAAGGAATACTGAGGAATACTTCTTCATCTATTCCATAGAGGCCCTTAATTGTGGTGGAAACTGGATGTGTTCTCCTAATATTCTTCAAAATACTTTGTTAAATTAGCTACATACAGGCCAATGGCCCAAGAAGTATAGCCTTTCATTTTGATAATCTCATAGGCACTAGCAGTCACTTCTTTGTGGACACTTTTCCATTGCTCAGGATCTTTGTCAGTTCCTGTATCAGAGTTCAGATCCTTCAAAGGGACACCGGCTATGTTCACTCCACTCCACACAGGAACACGAGTCTCCATGCTCTCCGAGGATCCATCCACAGCAGCTTTCAGAATGGATACCAAGCTTTTGTCCAATCAACAAACGAAAATGAGCAGTATCCAGATTACAGCCACTTCCAATAACACGGTTTCTGGGAAATGCACTCAACTTCCAGGCTACATACGTTAAGATATCCACTGGATTGGAAACAATAATCAGTTTGCAGAGGGGGCTGTACTGGACAATACTAGAAGTCATTAACTTGAAGATGGCCACATTTTGCCGGACTAAATTAAGGCGCGTTTCTCCCTTTTCTTGGCATGCACCTGCTGTGATAATCACTAGATTGGAGTTTGCTGTGACAAGGTAATCTTTGCTACAAACAATATTCAGCATTTTCATGAAAGGGTTGCCATGTTGAAGATCCACTGTCTCACCCTTTCAGTTTGCCTTCATCAAGATCCACAAGGGCAAGTTCATCACTCAAGCCTTTTAATAAGATGCTGATAGCGCAGGCCATGCCCACCGATCCAGTTCCTATGACGGTGACCTTACTGTGATGAACCGGCTCCTCGGAACTGAAGCGCTCAATAAGCTCACTCTTCACAGTCGCCGTCTTGCTCACGGTGGTGAAGAGCCAGGCGCGCTTGAGTGGCATCTGCGCTGCCGGACGGGGTCACAGGGCCATCCCCAGGCACAAGAAATTCGCTCCTGCTGAGCTCACACTCTGGATGGCCCACACAACAAGCACTGTCCAACTTATGGCTGCTCACTCAGGAAGTGGAGGGAGAGAATGGAAAAAAACCGTTGACCAGAATGTTGAGACTCCAAGAGCCGTGGGCAGCACCTTCAACCCTCCATGGCAGGTGCCCACGACCCGCCTCCGGCCCTCTACCACGGCTGCGCAGGCCTTGCCAGCGCCTCCAACACGTGCTTTCTGTGGGTGCTCAGACTAGGGCTGTGAAGGGCTGTTTCTCTAGCAAGTGATTTCTGGAGTTAGTTTTACTAAGAATACTTTCATCAATAGTTGACATGCTTAAGAGGCTAACCCAGATCCCTGGAATTACTAGTTTTCTATTTTTAGTATGAATGCCAAGGAAATCAGGTTACATCTTCTGAACTGTGACCCTGCCGGGAACGATAGGCCCCCGTGCTTTGCGAACTGGTGGCTGCCTGCACCATCTCCCAGTGTCCCAGAAGTGGGCTCCTGCTTTCTGGTGTACTGCGCTGGAGGCCTATTTATAAAAGATCCCACTGCCTTGGTGCCACTTCTGGCCAGGACCCACAATGGGACAGTCAGCTGGAGCTTGAGCGGGGTAGGAGCCGGCTGGGAGTCACTCCAGCACTAAAAACTCACCAGGCAAGAATGCTACTTCTTTCTCATGATGGAGGAAAGCCTCTGATTGTGCGTCCTGAAGAAAAATGACTTCTCAGGTGAAAGTTGGTGATGTAGCCCTCAATTAAAATGAAGATCTCTCTCAAATGTCCTTAAAATGGCAAATTTTAACCAATGCACGAATCAGATTACTGACCAAAGTAGTGAAATACATTATCTAGTACAACGTGGCATCAGTATGCCTTACTTCTGCATTTCTTTGGGCAATCTTAAGAACTAAATTCCCCTAACATTTCTGAGGAGGTGTCAACTTCACATCTGATGAAATGCATATCCTAATAAGCCCAGTAAATTACAAAAGCTCTAATAAAAACGATGGCACTTCCTCTTCACTTATACAGCATTTTGACCATGTAACAGTTCCTCAAAACCTCGCTCTCTTATTTAAAAGCAGTGTGCTCTTCTGGAATGGGCTCCTTAGAACATGCAGCCCCTCATGATCAGCAAAAGATTTCTGTTTCAGAGTATTGAATACTGACAAATGAATACTTTATATTTGGAATTGAAAATTTGTTTTTTTTTTTTTTTAGACAGAGTCTTGCTCTGTTGCCCAGGCTGGAGTGCAATGGTGTGGTCTTAGCTCACTGCGATCTCCACCTCCCAGGTTCAAGCGATTCTCCTGCTTCAGCCTCCTGAGTAGCTGGGACCACAGGCACACACCACCACACCTGGCTAATTTTTGTATTTTTAGTAGAGACGGGGTTTCACCATAGTAGTCAGGCTGGTCTCTAACTCTTGATCTCAGGTGATCTACCTATCTAGGCCTCCCAAGGTGCTGGGATTATAGGTGTGAGCCACCACGCCTCAAAAAAATGAAGAAAAAAGGCAGCCCAGGAGGGAAGGAACAATAAGCAAAGGAGTTGGTGAGGGCGGGAAAGGTGTGCCATCAGCTGAATTCCTGGCATCCTGTTTCAGGGCAACCTGCTGGCCATGTTTTCCTTATCAGTAGGGATCAGACATCCTGTTCAGATGACAGAGCCACAAACTCCATGACATACCCAAATCATAAGAGCACTAGGTACGTGAATTCTCTTAGCACTGCTAGTCAGATTTATGGTTAACATTTGCCAAATTAAAAACTGCAGTTTTAAAAGGGTCATCTTTATTTAATGGTGGCCAATGTTTTAGAGAAACCCTTTAAAAGCAACAACTTTTGATAGCTGTCATTTCTTTTATCTCAGTCATAACTTGAAATGTTTTAACCTGGTGCCTGTTCCCACCATCCACCTATAATGATTCCTTTCACCAGTCAAGTCATTTTCCAAGATAAGTGTTCTTGAAAATGAAATTCAAGGACATAAAGCCTCTTTGCTGGATGGCTACTTTCTACAGTCATTTTCTTTCTAGAGTTTGAACCTCTTCAGAACTACAATCTCCATAATAGCTGCCTCTTCAGTTTCTCCCCTTAGCCACAACTAAATCAATCTTAAGGGGGGGAAACTGTTCAAAATAAAAACACACCAAACAACGCAGCTTTTTTATTGACAATAAGTCTTGAGATAAAAAAGGAAAGCACTAACAAAGATGAAGAGAAGATTTAGGTCTACTGAAAGATGTGGCAAGCCAAATATAGCTAGCCAGCTCCCTAGTGACTTCCTATCTTAGGTGGCTCATTATTCCTTCTGAATTGAAAACCTGACTCAAATCATCTATTCAAAATGCAGTACAGTAATATAGGTAATGGACGATTACACCTCAGTACTTTCGGTTATGCCGCTTAGGAGGGAGGAAACAGGAAATGAAAACAACCAACAAGCCCCTGGGCCAAGAATGGCTGCAACTAAGTCATTATTCCTTTCACCTGGATTCACACCCAGCTCTCAAATCCTCCTTTTCCTACCTGGGAGTCTAGTTCTGACACTCCATTCTCTCGCCAGTCTTTGCCAATCCCCTAAGCAGAACTGACTTTCTAAAAGCCTATGTCACCACTGTACTTTGTACCTCTCCTCTATAGGATTTATCACACACAATTAAATGTAAAATACTTATGAATGTGTAGCTGCAAGAAGGATCCCCTTTTGTTTACCAGCGTATCCCTGTCCTCCAGAACAGAGTTGGGCACATGAACAGGGATTTGGTAAATGTAGTAGAAAAGAACGAGTAATTGTAGAGCTGAGTAAGGCTGGAGAGTGGCCTAAAAGGTGAGAGAGACAGAAAGGCGCGGCTACAGACCCCACCTAGAAAGAGTTCCAAAAATCCAGGTAAGTAAAATGGGTAGGTGGCACTCACTGGGGCATCTTCAGAAAGTTGATGCATAATTTCAAGTAAAGCTTTGGCTAAGCTAAAACATTTTGTGGCTATTTTCAAAGCCCATATCCACCTTTACCAAGTTAAAACATTAAAAAAAAAAAAAACAAAAAACCCTATAGTGCTAGAAATGCAGTGAAACAAATCTGCAGTGGTAGAGAGACTATTTTTATCCTTCAAAGTTATTTAAAAATGTTTTGTTCTTTGGAAAACTTTAAAAAGGGATACAATGAAAGCAGTGTTAATTATTATAAGCTGATCTGAAATAAGCCATGAACTCACCAGCATGCAAGGGGAACATTATACAAACACAATTGTTTTGAAAGCCGTCTTCGTGATTTGAAAAGTCATAAAATACAAATTGTAGTTTTAAAATAAATTAGTGGGCTCTAATTCTATTGCTCAGTAATTCTAAGATGGGAGTCTTTGCAAATCCCAGCACATGAAAATATTTTCCTTTGTTGATAACATTGGGAAGGCTGGAGGAAGGACCAACAGAGGCCCACAAAGAATAGAATAAAGGCAAAACATCAATCCAAAGAACAACACGGGGATAACTTCCTGTTTATGGTATTTAAATATAAAATGAATTGGTAAGCTCTTCTATTAAATAACCCCAATCACATTTTTGTTCTTTGAAAGCAGCATCTTATACATAATTTTTGATGTAATGTAAAAGAGCCACTTGTGTTAATCATTAAAAAGGAAAACTTATAATGTGGCATAAAACATGGAAATCAAGGAAATTAAAATTCATTAGGCTGGGTGCTGTGACTCACACCTGAGATCCAAGCACTTCAGGAGGCCAAGGCAGGTGGATCACTTGAGGTCAGGAGTTTGAGACCAGCCTGGCCAACATGGTGAAGCCCCGTCTCCACAAAAAAATACAAAAATTAGTCCGGCGTGGTGGTGTGCGCCTGTAGTCCAGCTATTTGGGAGGCTGAGGCAGGAGAATTGCTTGAACCCAGGAGGTAGAGGTTTCAGGGAGCCGAGATTGGGCCACCCCCCACCAGCCAGAAAAAAAGGAGACTGCCAAAAAAAAAAAAAAAAAAGAGACCCACTGAAATAAAATGGTAGAAGCGATGTGATCAGATTGCATTCAATAAATACTCACTAAACACCTACAATGCATTAGGCACTGTTACAGGTATGAGGACGCGGCAATGACCAAGATAAAGGAGGTCTCTACTTTCAGAATTTACATTCTTTTTGTGAAGACTGATAAAACAAGACAGTAATCAATACAATCTCATTTTGCAAGAGGTGCTACAAAGAAAAAAAAATAGGATAATTTCAGAGAGTAACTGGGTGGTGGGAATGAAGACATTTGGAGAAGCTGCTCTGAATTAAGTTTGGGTTGAAACCCTGGATAGCAACAAACAGCCAGCAATACAAGGACCTGGGGAAGGAGCTTCCTGGGTAAAGCTAGAATAAAGGCCCTAGGCAGGAACAGGCCCATGTGCTGAAGGAATACAAAGGCTGGAAGGGCTGGAGTGCAATGGGGATGGATGGGATGGGCAACTGCGGTGGTTCAAGATGAGGTCAGTGAGGTTGGTGAGGCTACGTCATGTAAACCTTCTTCAACAGAAGCCACTGAAGGGTTTTAAATAAGGAAGTAGCATGATCTGACTCACATTTAAAAAATATCTCTGGCTGCTGTGTGGAGAAAAAATTCCAGAGGGAATAAGGAAGAGGCCGGAGACTAGACACGAAACTCTTAAAACACTAGGCAACAGATGATTGGATGTGGACAGATGAAAGGAGGCAGGCCGTGTTCAGCGGCAGTGCTGACCAGCAGGACTTGCATGCATCAGATGACGGGAATGAAGGGAAATGAGAGAATCCAAGAGGATTCTCACCAGAGTTTTTGGTTTGAAGTGGAAGGATGGGATGATGGCGGCATTTAGGAAATGGGGAAGACCAAGGGAGGAGCAAGTTGGGAATAAATTGAAATCAAGTGCTCTAGTTTGGACACGGGTCATCTGACACGCCTGTGAGACATGTGTGAGGGTGCACAATACAAAGCTGAGACGCCAATCTGAAGGTCAGGGCTGGAGCTATGTATCTGGATGGCATCAGATTGTACTGTTTGCTGTAACACGGCAGGGACTGGATGAAACAGCCAAGGGGCTGAAGACAGAGGGAGGACAGAAGAGTCTAAGTAGGAGCTACTGGACACTGATGTTTAGAGGCTGGCCAGGGCAGGGGCTAGCACAGGAGACAGGGAAAATGGCTCGTGAGGTGGAAGGTATCTTGGAAGCCACAGTGTTTCAAGAGGTGGTGGTGGCTGCGGGGGAGCTCCATTGTGCCAGATGTTGCTGGAAGGGCAAGTAACAGAGGATAAAGTAAGATCTGGCAACAAGGAGGGCACTGGCAACCTTAACAACAGTTCCAGTGCGGCGGGGCAAGGAGCTGGACTGAGAGCAGAAGGGGGAGGAAGTGGAGACAGTGACCACAGACAACTTTTGGGAAGTTTTTTTGTGTAAAGGGGAGCAGACAAATGGGCTGGTAGCTGGAGGAGGCTAAGGAATCTCTAGAGAGAACTTCTACAGGTGGGAGAAACTAGAGCATGTCTGTACACACTGTAGCAGAGAAGGAACACATGACAATCAGCTAAGGCTGAGGATAACAATGAGGGCAAGGTCTCTTGTAGATGATAAGGGGCAGGATCTAATACCCAAACGGCAGGGGCCTGAGCCTCTGGCAGCAGCATGGACCTTTCATCCTTGTTAACAGGAAGAAAGGCAGTGTGCGTGGTAAGTCCAGAGAAGGTGAAGGCCACAGCGCCCTGGCAGAAGTGTGGAGAAAGAGCTGCAGGGAGGCAAAGCAGGAGGCAGGGAGAACAGAGAGCTGTCAGAATCATCGTGGAGCAAGAAGGTGCCCTCAACTATAGCGGCTGTGGGGGTCGAGGAGAAGCAAGGTTTGGTGACTGATTAGATGCAGGGGGGAGAAAGGCTGTGGTCAGGAATGGCCACCTGGCTTTTCTCTCTGGGCAGCTTTGTGGGTTATGCTACTATTCATGGGGAGAATGACTCAGGAGTAGGTTGCAGTTGGGGACAAACGACAGTTCATTGAGGAACATATGGGATGCCTGCAGGACATCCAAGCACCTGGGTCCAGTCAAGTGGGCCCATGGGCCTGGGCTCAGGGTGTAAATGAAAGCATCAGTGGCTAGAACCTGCTAAGGAGGAAAGATGGGGGATTAAAAAACAAAACAAAAACAAAAAAAACCTTAAACGTAACTGTGCATTATAAAGTAGCAGCATTTCACAAATAAATGGGACAGATAAGAGCCAGACAGGAATCAAGAAAATTCATAAAAAGAGGAAAGAACTATAAAAGCCTAGAATCTGTCAGTATAAGAAGCAAACAATAAATGGTTGATCTGAGTCATCAAGAAAAAGTTAAATGGTAAGCAATTTACATAGTGGAAAAATACATAGCACATTAGAAAAATGATTTCTTCTTAAAATTTTTAGAAACACTTCAGGTAGAAAAATCCATTTGAGAGAACATCATCTTCTGACATTCTGGTAAGTGAATACTTACAAACTGTGCATATCAACTAAATACAATACTGTTCCACAGTTTTAGATATTTATAAGTGACTAATCAATCATAAGCAGCTTTTAAAACTGAGCTTAAGGGGAAAGCAAATGCTATCAGTCTTCAGTCTACAATGCTTTAGAGAGATCTGCTCACGTGTGCCCAATTTTCTAAGCTCAGTCTAAGAAATAAGGACAAAGAAAAAGAAATTCCAAGTGAAATCAAGGCTACCTTCTTCCTGTGGGATGCGGCTGGGAACATTATTGAGATAACGAAGTCTGATCTGTGTCAGACCTCCGAACGAAAACGCTTTTATGGCAGAGCTGATTTGTCCTAGTCCTTGTTGCAAATTCCCACTTTATAAAATGCTTGGGGCCCTATTTTACTTACACAAGGAAACTGGTGAGTTCTGAAAGAGATATTTTGGAAATATGCCAAAATAGCGGATTTCCCCCCGCTTGGCTTTTTAAAAAAGTACATTGGTCATTATCGTCCATTTTAAAGTGAGCAGGTCCCTGTGATTCGCGTTCTCTGTCACCAAATTGCTTGTCCACATTTACATCAAGTGCCTCTCCCCACTACGATGTTAAGCCTATTAGAGCTGCAATGGAACGGGGAATAAGGGATATAGAGATGTTTTTGTCACCTCTGACTTGAACTTCCTCACTGATGCTCAGTGCTACTTCCAATTCATTTAAAAATGATTCTGGGAAAATATTCCCCAGTCCTCAAGCTGTTTGAAGGCCCAAGAGGGTGACAGATGGAACTACCTCTGCAGGATCGTGATGACTGCTCTGGGAGTTCTAGTGAGCACTGTGAAGAAATGGAAGCGAGGCTGAGTACACTGACGTGTGTCAGAATAAGAAACTGAGGCTTGCTTCCTGGGGACAGAAGCTGGTAGAGACCTCCAGAAGCACTGAAATTAGATTAGGCAAGGAGGCAGAGGGAAATTTATCAGCCGATTCTCAGATTTCCCCTGCAGATCCCTCAAAAGTGGCTGCCATTAAAACAACTGGCCAGGAGACTCAGGTTTATTTTTAATCTTTGATCTAAGTCAATGAAAGTCTATAGCACTGAAAGTCTATTTCCCTCCTTAGAGATTGTCAAAGTTCAACATTTCTAAGCTTTTTCACAGTTTTACCATTTACATATGGGGTTGTAACAGTCACTCTACCATGCTGCCTCATTTGAGATGAATAGGTAAAAATAATGCAGGAATAAATGTACTAATAAGAGAAATACCAGACTACCAGTGAAACTTAAATTAGCAAAGAGCCAAAAGAAATTTGATTGTAATTACTAGCTAAGGCCCTCAAGCTGGTCATGAGGTTACTAAGAAGTGAGCTTAAATATTATCACAAAAATTATACCTAGGAGCAGCTATAAAAAAAAACTGAAGAAAATAAATTTTATTAGAGTACATCCAATACTGTCCTAGAGGAAAGACACAATATTACTTCCCTTAAAGATTCTCTCTTATCATAGGAAAGTATAATGTCCGTGTATAGAGACATATTTAAAATATATCTGTTTTATTCACATTTTACTTTTTGTTTTTTAAAGAAAAGGAGGTCTGGGCTCTTGAGAAAGCAGCAACATCTATTGGCAAAAGAGGAGGCAAGACAGGGCCCAGGAAAGGTGTGCAAGGCTCCAATCACAAATCACTTCCCTAAAAGCCTTTCCAGCAGCAGGGGCTCAGGAGAGATACAGGAAGAAAAAGAGTTGGGGGTGGGGGTGGATTATTTTCTATCAATCAGCCTGGCAAAAATTTCAGAGTAACAGGAGGCACTCAGGGCAAGGACGCCAGAAAACTTTTATGCATTTTTGACATCTTCTAAATTGTATAAACTTTTCTAGAGGGCTGGTTAGCAACAAATTATCAAAAACATTTATAAAAGGCACTTTGACTCAACAAACAATAGCATCTCTTGTACAATAAGATGTATGCCTATAGGTTCCCTGTGGTATTTAATAGTGAAAAATTACAATCTAAATGCCATTGGCAGGAGACTGATTAAATAGACTGTAATATACAACAGGGTTCCATGTCGTGATTAAAAGTGATGGAGATTTATATACTGTGCTGTGCAAAGATGTTCCTGTGAAAAAGGATTCCAGAGTAGCAGGCAGTAAAACAGCATTTCTCTACAATTCTATGAATATCCTACACAAGATGATCCAAAAAGATGTTTCTACTGTAATTATGATTATGACTTAGTTGGATTTCTGGTGATTTTTGCTTCTTTTTTTGTACTTTCTACACTGATTTTTTTTTAAATGAGTACATATCTTTACAAAAAATACCCGACTGTCTTTTTAAATTTTGAGTAAAAAAAATATATATATGTAAATATAAATATATATATTATATATAAATATATATATAAAGACAAATATAAATATAATATATATATATAAAGACAAATACTTTTCTTTTTTTGAGACAGGTCTATCTCTGTCACCCAGGCTGGAATGCAGCGGTGTAATCTTGTCTTGCTACACTCTTAAGCCCTAGCCAGGCTCAGGTACTCCTCCCACAGCTCAGCCTCCTGAGTAGCTGGGACTACGGGCATGTGCCACCATGCCCAACTAATTTTAAACATTTTTTTGTAGAGGCGGGGTCCCACTGTGTTGCCTAGGCTGGTCTTAAACTCCCAGGCTCAAGCAATCCTCCTGCCTCAGTCTCCCAAAGTGCTGAGATTGCAAGCATGAGCCACTGTGCCCAGACTAACAAATGCTTCTTATCCCATGCTAAAGGGGTAAAAAATAAATCAAAAACTCCCTTCATTTATAAATTAATTTTAAAATTTAAATCTCTGGACAATTTAAAGTATTTCACAATAACTAGAAACATTTTCATTTATGGTTTTTATTACAATTGAGGTTTCAGCTCCTATGAGAACAACAGCTATAAATTATCTGTAAATTCCCACTATACTAGGTATCATGAATACATTCTCTAGAAGCCACAATAAAGGTTGGCAATGGCAATTCTACCAGTCCTTTGAGATAACCACCTCCTCACAAACGCAGAGCACAGGTCCATAGACATAGCACATACACCTTTGATAAAGTTCTACTCACACAAACTAGGAGTTATTTAGATATCTAATGTTTCCTGTTTTAAGGGGAGGAAAAAAGTCAAGGTAGTCTAGCTATAAATAATCTACCTATTTTTTTAAAATTTTACTTATTTTAATTGTTTTCCTAAACCTCTTAAGAATCCTTCAAGTATCAATACCTACTACAAATAATAAAAGGTAAAAAGTTTAAAAGTCACTGCTCTTGAGTTACATGTAAATAACCGTATGTAAACAGCAAGGTTTCTTTTTCTTGATAGTTAGGGAATCACCAGTTAGTACAAAAATTCTTTAGATAATTTACCTCAACTATTCTCCAAACTTAATCTGTCCTGATAAAACAACCTAATCACAGTGTCCCAGCATGTACTCACCTGGCCTCATCAGAGTGCCACATGTGCACTCACCTGGCCTCATCATGGTGCCCCAGTGTGCACTCACCTGGCCTCATCATGGTGCCCCAGTGTGCACTCACCTGGCCTCATCAGAGTGCCCCCGTGTGCACTCACCTGGCCTCATCATAGTGCCCCAGTGTGCACTCACCTGGCCTCATCTAGTGTCCCAGCGTGCACTCACCTGGCCTCATCATGTGCCCCAGCGTGCACTCACCTGGCCTCATCATAGCGGCCCAGCTACACTCACCTGGCCTCATCATAGTGCCCCAGCATGCACTCACCTGGCCTCATCAGAGTGCCCCAGCGTGCACTCACCTGGCCTCATCTAGTGCCCCAGCGTGCACTCACCTGGCCTCATCATAGCGGCCCAGCTACACTCACCTGGCCTCATCATAGTGCCCCAGCATGCACTCACCTGGCCTCATCAGAGTGCCCCAGCGTGCACTCACCTGGCCTCATCAGAATGCCCCAGCTGCACTCACCTGGCTTCATCATAGTGTTCCATGTGCACTCACCTGGCCTCACCATAGTGCCCCATGTGCACTCACCTGGCCTCATCAGAGTGCCCCAGCATGCATTCCAAGGTCATGTATGTACACAGCTGATTTAGGAGACTATAAACCCAAAGGAAATGTTCATCTTTTTTTCCACAATTAAGTTATTGCGATAAGATTAGTGCTATCTTAATCATAATCAAACGATAAAATGCCATAATTGAAAGTAATCAATGAACACAAACTGAATGGTCAAGACGTGCTTGCTGGCCAGGCTGGGCAGGGGAGCAGGGTAGATATTGAACTGGCACTGATTTCTCCTCATTGCCAATGGTGGGCAAACTTATCTGCTTTGGTCTGCTAACAAGACATCTTCCCCTACCTCTCTTTCTTTGGAACCTCTGATTAAATGACATGTCATTGTGCAAAATACACGTGTGTTTATATTTAATGTTATTGTATGTGTTCTATGTGAAATGAAATTCCAGAATAATTATGAATAAACAAACAGTAAAACCAAAATACTTTTAAGGAACTAAGTTTCACTTTAAGCATTTTAAACATGTTCCCTTTTAGGCCAGCAGATGTAGCTGTGAATTAAAATAGGAACTACCAGCACTTCTATCAAGCTGCTCTAGCTTAGCCATTAGATGGCACCCTTTTGTATTGGAACTGGGTTTCTATCAGAGATTTAATCCAGTTCAAGCTAGCTACTTAAAATTTGACACTGGAGTTGATTTTGATTTACCTGCATTTATCTGGAACGTCATCAATTATTGATTGAGTGTGTAGACTTGGACCATTTCTGTTCAATGTTTTCTGACCGAGACTGCTTTTTTAGTCATAAAAAGATGAGACAGTACACAGTGACAGAAGTTCTTACTGGACTCAGGGTAACCTCATAATTGTCATCAATACTCTCTAAACGCAGACTTAAATATACCACATTGCGGTCTGCAAGCCTCAGCACAGGGTTATCCATAAGAATTTGCTTAGAAAGTCAACAGGTAAGGCTTTTACCACTCTACTGGGTAGCCCTGTCTTCCCACAGTGCATGGCTCAGGGGCGGCCCACAAATGATGTTAGAATGAACAAACCAGGAAATTAATAAACACTACTGCCTTCAAAAGATGTGTCCTTGAAAAGTTATCAGTGGGTTCATTATTCTGTAAGCCTTCTCAGACATGGAGATCAAACTGATATGCCTAATGATCTATATGTAGGGAGACAGTGTACATGCAGTCTCTCTTTTTAGTTAGACATAAACATGCAATATAAAAGGATTCCACATATTCTTATATTCAGTAGTGAAAAACCAGAAAATATTTTTTTCTCACCAAAATATCTTATTTAGGCTGCAATCCTTGTATTAGTGCCATAAAACAAAGAAGTTCACATTCTACCATCTTCAATGCTAGGCAAATGTCCCTGCTTTGTTCGCTAACAAGATAGCTTCTAATACCTCTCCTTCTTTGGAACATCTGATTAAATGATATACCACCCGGCAATCATTTGAAATGCAAATGTATGTTTATATTTAACATATGTGTTCTATGTGAAATGAAATTCCATAATAATTATGAATAAACAATTGGATTATTCTAGCACAGTCTAGTCCATAAACAGCAAATTATCAAGTGCATAATTTAGATAACCTAATTTTATTGGTTTATCAAAACTGAGATTGACTCTTCTAAGTCAGACTATTTGTATTTTCAAATACCTTAAAATTTTACTACGAAGTTTATAAGCCACACTACTAAGCACTGAAAATATTATGAATTCCACACAGTTCATGTAAAGTGCTAGCAAATTGTCATTTTTATAGAAAGTAGAAGCTCAATAACTTTATTACTAAGTACTACTTAATAATCTGAAGATTCAGACCTGGGTTTACATCTTGACACTGCCAATCACAAGCTATGTGATCTTGGGCAAGTGATTTAACTTCTTTGATTCCCACTTTCCTCATTTATAAAATGGGGGATATTAAAATCTGCTATATAGTTATTACGAAGATTAAATAATCTGCTATGTCTAAAATGTCTGTACAATGACTGAAATGGACGAAGAAATTTTATATTGGTCAAAAGCAAAATTGAGGTTAACAGCAAAAACCATGAAAAAATTTTCAGTCACAGATTTTCTGTCTTTTCAAGAAATCTCTAATTCAGCATTCCAATGACTGGCCAGCAAAGTTAACTCAAAAATAAAGGTTAGGGCCAGGTGCGGTGGCGCACACCTTTAATCGTAGCACTTTGGGAGGCTGAGGCAGAAGATAGCTTGAGTCCAGGAAAAAATTTAAAAAATTGGCCAGACATAGTGGCATGCACCTGTGGTCCCAGCTACTCGGGAGGCTGAAGTGGGAGGGCGGCTTGAGCCCAGGAGGCTGCAGTGAGCTGAGACTGTGCCACTGTACTCCATCCCGGGCAACAGAGGAAGTTCTCTATTTCCAAAAAATAAATTTTAAAAACAGAGCTTAGACTAGGAGAAAAGCACCTTCATCTGTCTATCCGTGTATTCTGAGTGACAAACACAGTAATGTTTGTTTGTTTACGATTAAACAAAATATGAAAAGCTCAATAATGCCTATGAGGTTGTTCATGCAACCCCGCCAACTTGCCCGTTTTTTCCTCCCTGCTGAATCATTCCCATCAGCATATACATGCTGCTAATTCCCCCAATTTAAAATAAAACAAGTAAAAAACTATCTCTTGATCCCTTTCTTTTTTCCAGCTATGACCCCACTTCCTTCCTTCACTCTGTGGCAGAACTCAAGACTCACACAGACACAGTGCCTCTGATTCTCCTCTATTCTCTTTTGAATCTCTCAGGCTTTACTCCACCATTTCACCAATGGCTGTCACACTGCCAGATCCAGTGAATTCTCAGTTCTCCTCTTACAGAACTTATTATCAGCATACAGCACAGTCACTTCTTGAAATGTTTTCTTTATCTGGTGTCTATGTCACCAGGCCAAGGAGATTTCCCTTTTCAAGGGTACTTTCCCTTCATTCCCCAACCTGTAACCAAGAGTTCCTTCCTCAGACCTCTTCTTTCTTTCAGCCTTCACTACCTTGGTGAGTTAATCTAGCCTCATGGCTTTAAATGCTGTGCATATACCAATGAGTCTCAAATTTAAATCTTACCTTGTACTTCTCCCCTCACTCTCAGCTTCTATATCTAACTGCTTACTGCTCTCCATCTCACTATCAAACAGATGTGTCAGCCTCACAAGTGGCAGATCGAGCTCCTGACGTTATCCCCCAATGCCTGCTCCTCCCACCCATCCTCCAGTTGCTCAGGCCAAAAGTCTTGATGACATCCTAACTTCACTCTTTCTCACACTTCACATCCAATCGACAACAAATCTTTGCTGACTTGACCTTCAAAATACATCCAGAATTTCTTTTCATCAACTTTACCACCGCCACCTATCTCAAACTACTGCCAATTCTCACCGGTCACGAAGGGCCCAGTCCACAGAACTTGCAACCAGTTGTTTAAAAAAAAGAAGGCAGCCATTCTTTATGTAATGCTCTGTAGCTTGAGGCACAAATTTTACACATATACACAACATAGACACACAACACACACACACAAGCTTTTAGGATTTTTTTCCAAAAATGTGTAAATAACACATTAATAATTTAAATAATTATTTTAAAAATGTTTTAACTCTTTTACAAAGATTTTATATTATATGATGCCAAACAGCATAGAAAGTTGTTCCAAATTAATAATTCTATTAAACAAACAGCTAATGTCAATTTATTTACTTATTTGAGACAGGGTCTCATTCCATCGCCAAGGCTGAAGTGCAGTGATCTTGGCTCACTGCAGTCTCAGCATACAAGGCTCAGGTGATCCTCTTGCCTCAGCCTCCTGAGTAGCTGGGACTACATGTGTATTCCACCACACCCAGCTACTTTTTTTGTAGAGACAGGGTTTCATCACGTTGCTCAGGCTGGTCTTGGACTCCGGAGCTCAACTGATGTGCCTGCCACAGGCTCCTAAAGTGCTGGGATTATAGGCATAACCCACTGCACCCGCCCTAATGTCAATTTATATAGGACATTAGTTATAAATTAGTCATTAATTATATTTGAAGTTTTACCACCTTCAAAAATTTAGCTGGCTGATTTATTGGTAATAAGAAATTTAGTCACATACTGTGTCATCATTTCCTAAGACAGTGGCCAAACTACATGCAACTTTGAAAACCAGGAAAATTTAGAACACAGAAAGCAGAATAAACATCTAGATACCAGTGACAAGACTGTAGTTACTCACACTGTGAACTCCTAAAGCTTTCCAGACTGCGAAGCTAATTACACCAACCCCACACCAAGCATACAGTGAGCCCCAGCCCAGAGCTCGTAAGGCAAGGGAAGACCCGCTCTCCGGTAATGCAGCCGTGGCCATACTTCCCTGAAATGAGACAGAAAGGTTCAGGTAAAAACAATCAGCGCAGAAAGAATAAGCATTCTGGGAGTGTTTGCAAATTTCTCTCTGTGCAAGCAACATGATATTGGGAAGCTAGATCAACCCAAGGTCAAATTCTAGCTTTACGACTTAATAACTGCATGCTTTCTGACTCACAAATATTTGATTATGCAAGGCACTGCCTGTTAATTCTTCCAGAAAAATCCTAGACCATTTTGTCAAGATTTCTCTATCCCCCATTCATTGGCATTTTCACAGAATGACATTAATCCTAATCTGATAAGAGATAGGAAATTTATAACATCCTGTCTTCCATCTGGAAATACATTTCCATTTACTAGAGTGCTTTTCTTTTTTACAATAACTTTCTTTATATTATTTATTTATTTATTTTGAGAGAGTCTCACTCCATCACCCAGGCATGATCACAGCTCATTGCAGCCTCAAACTCCTGGGCTCCAGCAACCCCCGCCCCCCGACCTCAGCATCTCAAGTTGCTAAGATTAAAGGTGTGCGCCACCACATCTGGCTAATTTTTTTTTCTTGTACCAACTCCTGGCCTGAAGCAATTCTCCCACTCAGCCTGAAATGAGTTATTATTAGCTATTGCCTATATCCAAAACAAATTTTAGTGGAAACTTGATTGTTAAATGTTGATAGGTCATTAAGTTTTTTTCTAATTTTTTTTTTAAGTTCCATTAAGTTTTAAAAAATCTAGTCACAAGCTTTATTCTGTGAGGAAGAATGCCACTTGACATTCAGATACCATGTTCAAAATTTTCAAAATGAACCCTGGCTGACTTGCTGCAGGAAAAGACTGACTTGCCAAAAAATAACATCATTTTAAAAGATCTTTAGACACAGACACACATGCTAGCGTACATGTGCATATATGTATATATGGCTACACTATTCCTCACTGACCCATTGCTTTTCTTAATTTAAATTAAAATTAAGGCATCTGGATATGGAAATTGAAATTAACAAATCACATTGCAATTAGGGTATATAGAATCCCGAAGATGAAACAGAAAAATTATTTTCTAAATGAGAACTCTGTATTTATAATACCTCTTGGGCCTGAAAATACAGGTGCCCCTTAACTTCTACCACTTACCAGAACCCTTGAAAAAGCAGGTGACAAAATTAACCTAAGTGTTCAGTTTGTCAGAGGTCAACTATATACTTAAAAATATGGTTCGCAGTTTTAGCTTTTCTTCAGTTTAATCCTGAGATGAATTTTATTTAACATCAAGTGAATTTTATGTTTTTTGGTTTTTTTGAGACGGAGTTTCGCTCTTGTTGCCCAGGCTGGAGGGCAATGGCACGATCCCGGCTCACCGCAACCTCCGCCTCCCAGGTTCAAGCATTTCTCCTGCCTCGGCCTCCCAAGTAGCTGGGATTACAGGCATGCACCACCATACATGGCTAATTTTAGATTTTTAGTATAGACAGGGTTTCTCCATGTTGGTCAGGGTGGTCTTGAACTCCTGACCTCAGGTGATCTGCCTGCCTTGGTCTCCCAAAGTGCTGGGATCACAGGAGTGAGCCACCGTGCCTGGCAATCAAATGAATTTTTAAAATGAATGTTCAATCTAATTATTTCCCCTACAGAGAACACTCTTATCTGATACAGTATTTTGATGTATTTGAATCACAGAAATATCTGGCTGTGTTTTCATAACGTGTGCAATACATTTTTAAAAATATTTATTTTTATAACTTCCGAGGTAGCAACTGTGAAGTGCACTGCCTAAGTGAGATTCGTAAACTGGTGCTTGCTCGGTATAAATGCATTAACTGTGTGCTCCAAAGTCTCCGAGTGCTTCTACAAACCATTTTACCTCTGAAACAAAGTCTGGGTAAGTGATAATACTCTAATTCCAATGTTTTCCCAGAGGGAGACCAAAGCATCTAAAACAGTGGTTCTCAAACTTCCTGGTCTCAGGATCCCTTTACATTTGGGCCCTAAAGACTTGCTATCAGGTGGGTTGTATTTACCAACATTTAATGTATTCAAAATTAAAATTAAGAAATTCTTAAATTCTATTAGTCATTTAAAAATAGTAAATCATTCTAGACTAATATAAGCCTATTTTTTTTTAAGAAAAATAACTTTTCCAAAACAAAATTGTGCAAAGTGAGACAATGTTTTACATTTTTGTTACTCTTTATTTTTAATTTTTTCTATTTTTTGAGATAAAGTGTCACTCTGTCTCCCAAGCTGGAGTGCAGGGGCGTGATCTCAGCTCATGGAAAAACTTCCACCTCCCAGGTTCAGGCAATTCTCATGCCTCAGCTTCCCAAGTAGCTGGGATTACAGGTGGATGCCACCATACCCAGCTAATTTCTGTATTTTCAGTAGAGACGAGTTTTCACCATATTGCCCAGGATGGTCTCAAACTCCTGCTTAAAGTGATCTGCCCGCCTCAGCCTCCCAAAGTGCTGGGATTACAGGCATGAGCCGCCAAACCTGGCCTGTTACTCTTTTAAATATCTAGCTTAACAAAAGATAGATGAATCTTCATATATGCTTTTGTATTCAATCAGTTGCAAGATATTATCTTTAGTGAAAATAAATGAATAAAACCTGGCCTCACACAGATATATGGTCACGTCTTCGGAAAATGGAAGAATACTGTAATAGCTTTCCTTCTCTGATAATATACCAAAACAAATAACTTAATATTAAGATTAGTTGCAACGTGGAACATGAAGTCGTAACAATTTTTTTGTAATTTATTGCATGAAAATCCATTAGTCTATTTTGCACTTTGAATGGACTTTTATTTCATGTATCATGCTCGTTCAGAAGATACTGGTCATACAGGTGTCTCAAGTTATATAGATTTTCAATTGTTGACACTATTAAAACAGTATTTTAAAAAGCACATCATTAATATCACCATAAAATCTCATTGGAAAAACCATTAAATATTGAGCAACCGTGAAGCTCATGATGGCAGATAAAAGTTTTCTAAAATCTAATTTTCACTTGAAAGCCTGATTTTTATCAGGGGCAATAAATACTGACAATCACTTGCTTGAAAAGACAGGCTTTTTGTTCATTATCAAAATGTCTGCCAAATACCCACTTCTGAATAACCACAGTTTGTCAGTTGTTCTTTCAAGTAAAAATGATATTCTATAGGAAAAAAGGGGCTAATTTAGCTTGCAATTCAATTGCTTTCCTAGAGAAAAACATCTTACTTCAGTATAAAATAGAAATGCTCTATATATTTCCCTTTACATAGTATATTAAAAAGAGGTTTAATCGAGAGTCATGGTTTAATAAAATTAACTATTTTATTTCTTTAACAAGGACATTCTTAAGTAATGCTGGCTTTAAAAAATGCAGGTGCTTTGTAATGGAGAACACAATGACTTCCAGCACAGTTTGGAGCTACTGCCTTGGTTATACCAAGGTATCAGCAGTTTTACTCTCCATTGCCTCTCTACCATTAGCACAAGCATCTTCGTATCTTTATGAAAATAGTTTGACTTCATGGACCCAAGGATCAAGGATTAGCAGGTTTCTGTGGACCACGGTTTGAAAACCACTGTTAGACCCTGAAGGGCATCTGTGATGATCAAATCTCAGAACAACAAAATAGGATGGAAAGTTGTGAATATGTGTATGTGCTCCCCCAGCCCCTGAGAATCCCTGGTTTTCATCAGATTATTAAAACGGATCAGTGAGCCAAGGATTAACATGATAACTTAGGCTAGGAAATCAACCAAAACTCTACTGTTAAAGCACTACTGATTTCCGCCACAAAGTATCATTTCTGCTCTGAAAAACATTCTATAACATAGAGAGAAAACGATCCACAAGGTCCATAGCAGTGATTTAGGAAGCTCCAACTAAGCTTAGACCATTCAAAGGTGATCCAAGCACACTTTAAAGGCGGTCTCTTGCCATTACAGTATCAATAAGGCTTAAGTATGATTATTAAAGATAAATGTAAGTGGAAAGGAAACTTGACTGTTTTGTTTTACATAACACTTTCCTCCACAGCACACATCAAATTGTAATTACACAGTTATTTGTGTGAATATTTATTTTTGATAGAGTCTTACTCTGTCACCCATGCTGAAGTGCAGTGGTGCGATCTGGGCTCACTACAACCTCAGCCTCCTAGGTTCAGGTGATTCTACTGACTAGGCCTCCCAAGTAGCTGGGACTACAGGAGTGTGTCACCATGCTCGGCTACCTGGCTATTTTTGTATTTTTAGTAGAGATGGGTTTTCGCATTGTTGGCCAGGCTGGTCTTAATTCCTGACCTCAGGTGATCCGCCCCTCTTGGCCTCCTGAAGTGTTGGAATTACAGGCGTCAACCAGACGCCTGGCCCAGATTTAGATTTAAAGTCATGTTGTGAATAGGAAATGTACCAAATAAGCTTTCAGTCTTGTTCTGCTAAAATTTAAGAAAGCACATATTTTTCTAAATGAAAATAAAGACCGCTGATTAATCTGTATATTTCTAGATTCCATGAGTGTATATAAATTCACATCTTGAAGCAATGTGAAAGGCCATCAATATTTTCCTTATTTTTTTCTATGCAAAAGCTGCCATATATTGTAAACAACAACAATGCTATGAATGGATTTCAGTGTCACCAACCTTATTGAACCATTCAGGGCTTTTCTTTTTCGTCAATGATAACGTTGTAATAAAACCTGCAAGCATTCCCGCTGCAGCAACAGTACCAAGGAAAATTCCACCTGCAAAGAGTTTCGGGGAGGAGGGGGGATATTTAAAAAACTAAATAAAAAGAAGTTAAAAAGATGTACAAAAGTAAGTTTAAGATACTATTCGAGATACAATCAAAATCACTTTTTGAAATTCAAGAAACCATGGCTAAGCAGCTCTCGCTAACAGTTAGTAAATGACAGTGGCTGAGAAACCCGCGTGAGCTCACGACCTCTGGTTCCTGGGGTCATTCCGAGTTATTATTACTGAGCGCAGAGAACAGGCTCAGGTTCCCTTCACCTCTCCCCAGGGGACCACTGTGTGAAGTTTCTCACAGGGAGGAAAAGAGAGACGGTGGCAATCAGAAAAGGCAAGGCTCGAGAACAACTGCAGAGGTGAAGGGGAAATATGGCACGCCAGGGATAGCAATAGCTCGCGGGATCTGCCCCCTGCCCCGCCCAAGAGGAGGCTCCACCCAGCAAGCGACTTACCCGTCCCGGGGCGCCCGACTCTGCGGGCTAAGCTCAGGTGCAAGTCCAAGCTAAGGGCACTCAGAGCGGGATGGGTGTGGGAATGCCCGCTCCAGCGCAAGCCAGGGCCTGGGGTTAGCTCGCCCCGACGCTTGCACCTCACCACAGCACACCTTACCTTTAACCAGGAAAAGCCGGTCATCCGTGGACCCCGGAGCCTCCAGCCGAGAAACTGGCTGCCCAGTCCCAGCGCCCGCTGTCTCCATGCTTAGGTCGTCTCTATCGCGTCCGGCCCCAATGGGGCCCGGGTGGAAGCGAGAGCGAGACGGAAGAGAAAGGTTCCGCACCGCCTCCTCCAGTGCAACCTGAAGAAGAGTCCGGGGTGAGGCCTCTGTCCCCAAACCCTCCTCCCGGGCCGGGGCGGGGAAGACGTGGTGTGTGCCCAGCTCCGGGGCGCTGCCCTCCCAGGCCGTCTCCCAGGGAGGATCACTTGCTTTCTCCAAGGTGATCATTGCTGGACTTAAGTGATTACTTTGAAAGAACGCTCAGCCCCGACCATAGGAGGCAGTGAGGGTCGCGGGTTGCGCCCGGATTCCAGGCCCCGCCTGCTGTGAGACCTGGAGCTCATTTTCCCCACCAAGCTTACGTTATGTCCAACGATTTGGCCAACGCTAACATTCCACGATTCTAAAACGCAGGCCTCAGTCTTGTCTGTACTTTTCTGGGAAACTTCCTAACAGCGATGAGGAAAAGTGTAAGTGACAGGGTTTCTCCCTGGAGGAGAGCCAGCCGCCCGGCTCTTTGGCGAGGGCCTCCCTCGGGAAGTGGAATACTCACGGGATGACCGAATGAAGCTACCACGCCCGCGAGGAGAGCGAGGCCCGCTGGAAGGGCCTGCAGAGTTGCCGGGAACGTTGATCGCCAGCAGGCCTGGTCTTCAGTCTGGTCTGCCCATTCTGTAAATGGCCATGGAGAGGAGGAGGCTAGTGGCCATGGAAAATCTTTACAGCCTCATCTTTTAAAATAAGGCGATCTCTCTGCTATTTGTCCCGCCCACCCATCCCTGGAGGGCATGAGCTTCCTGAGGATGGAGATGGGACTCTGCTCAGTTTATATCCCCCAGCTTTCGGGTATTCCCTGGCCACGAACAACAAATGCATGCTGGATGAATGGGTAAATGAATGCATCTGTTTTTGCATCAGTGAAGTGCAGTGAATAGCTCAAACCTGGCTCAGGGTCTAAACCGCTTCTCAGGTGTGTGAACTTGGGGTTACTTAGCCCCTCTGTATCTCAGTTTCCTCATGTGTAAAATTTAAAACGGATAGTAGGCCTGGGCGGCGGCTCACACCTGTACAATAATCCCAGCACTTTGGGAGACTGAGACAGGCGGATCACCTGAGATCAGGCATTCGAGACCAGCCTGGCCAACATGGTGAAATTCCATTTCTACTAAAAATACAAAAATTAGCGGGACCTGGTGGTGCGTGCCTGTAATCCCAGCTACTCCAGAGGCTGAGGCAGGAGAATCGCTTGAACTCGGGAGGCAGCGATTTCAAGGAGCCAAGATCGGGCCACTGCACTCCAGCCTGGGCAACTAGAGCAAAACTCCACCCCCGCAACCCTGCCCCAAAACTTATAGCACCCATCTCACAGGATTGCTGTGAGAATGAAATGAAGCAACATCTATAAAGAAGTTAGCACAGTGCCTGGCACACATAAATATTCAATACATGTTAGCTCTAACTATTACCACCTTTGATTCCAGCAGCTGTTTTGCAGCATTGCCTATGGGGATTTTTTAAAATGATGGCTGACCAGGGTCTGCCACAGGAGATTACAGCTCTGAAGGCTGGCGGGCAGCAGGGCAGAATGTAAAAGCTCTGTGGGGGTTCTGATGATAAAGAACGACTGCTCTGTTCCAATTTTTGTGTGGATGAGATCACACAGAATGTATGTGACCTTTGGATTTCCTGGAAACACAATGTCAGTATCTGAAAGGGCGTTTAAGCTGGTAAATGCTGTGCTAATTTGTTGGAGGACCTTTCCTTTTTCCTCTCCCTCATACATAATAGTGACCATAGCCGCTAACATATACGGAGCGCTTTCTATGTATCTGACATTGCACTAAGTGCTTCAGGTACGTTATCTCACTTGTTCCTCTCCAGAAACTCAGAAAGACTGCCTTGCTCAAGCTCACACAGCTGTTAAGTGGCAGAGACAGGATTTAAAAGCAGGTCCTTCCTTACCCACTGTGCCAGTGATCCTCAAGTGTGAGCTTGAATATTGGGATCACCTGGAAGATGTATTGCACTCAGCTTACTGGGCCCCATTCCCAGAGCCTGTGACTCAGTGGGGCCTGAGAGTGTGTATGTTCCCAGGTGATGCTGTTGCCACTGGTTCCACTTTGAGAACGTCTTCTCTGTGTCTTCCTCTCACGATGACACCTCTTAAAATCCACACCGTGCACTTCAACACTTGGAAATCTGCTTTCCCAAGACTGCTTAGGGAGAAAAAGTGCAGACTCCTCCACTTTCTTTTTTTGCTATCCCCCTAGAAAAGGACAGAAACTTTTTTATTTTATTTTAAGGTTTAGGCTGGGTGCAGTGGCTCAAACCTGTAATCCCAGTGCTTTGGGAGGTTGAGGAGGGCAGATCATTTGAGGTCAGGAGTTTGAGACCATCCTGGCCAACACAGCAAAACCCTGTCTCTACTAAAAACACAACAATTAGCCGAGTGTGATGGCGGCACCTGTAATTTCAGCTACTCAGGAGGCTGAGGCAGGAGAATCGCTTGAACCCAGGAGGCAGAGGCTGCAGTGAGCCAAGATTGCACTGCTGCACCCCAGCCTGGGTGACAGAGCAAGACTCTGTCTCAAAATAATAATAATAATATTTAAAGGTTTATCACTATTTACAGTAAGGAACAGAAGGGAAATGATAGATCTTTAAATCTAGGGAAGTACAGAGTCCTGCATTGTGAAGCCCACCTCCGTTGAAAGTAACCGTGTCCTCGGAGGCTGGTGTCTGCTTTGTTCTGGACGCTGCAGCTCACAAACCTCTACCTTCTTTCGAAATCCCCAAAGTAAAAGAAAATCTTTGTGTTTTCTATTTGAAAGCTTGTTTTCCAAATACACACAGGGCTGAAAAGGCGACTCACACAAACCAATGGTTTACACTTCAGCCTTAGGTGAGCAGTTTGCATTTTGAGGTGAGCTCCTTGGTCGAGACCTGTTTGTGGAGAGTATTTCGACTCCATTTCTCACTAGCCCCCAGCGCCTACCCTGTGACTTACTCTGTGCTAGATCCTGGGAGATGGTGTTTCCAGAGCCTTGGAAGCCTGCCATGCACTAGGACGGGAAGTCCCGGGCCCCGAGATAAGACCAAATTTCAGGCATCCCAAGTTGGAATGCTGAAAGAAAACATTTTTTAAAAATAATGTTTCCTGGGCCAGTCAGGGTGGCTCACGCCTATAATCCCAGCACTTTCAGAGGCCGAGGTGGGCAGATCATGAGGTCAGGAGTTCAAGACCAGCCTGGCCAATATAGTGAAACCCTATCTCTACTAAAAGTATAAAAAATAGCCAGGTGGAGTGGCACGTGTCTGTAGTCCCAGCTACTTGGGAGGCTGAGGTAGAAGAATCGCTTGAACCCAGGAGGTGGAGGTTACAGTGAGCCAAGATCGGGCTACCTCCAGCCTGGGTGACAGAGTGAGACTCCGTCTCAAAAAAAAAAAGACAATGTTTCTCAAGGTCTCATATCGCTACAGGACACCCAGTTGGGTACTTTGGGTACAATTTGATTAACTGCACTGCTCTAAGAATTCCACAATCCCGCCTAGACTCATTTCTATAGAAAGATACCACGCAAGCTCCAAACCGGAGAGTTGCAGACCTTCCACGCACAGTTTCTTTGCAAGATAGGGGCTTGAGTTCTGAAACAGCAGGGCAGCATTTCCAAGCGTGGAAACCAGAGATTAGAAAGTCACAGAGCTTTGGTGCTTCATGCAGCAGCAGCAGGACTGATGTTTCCATGGAAGCACGGTGCTCTTCTAGAAAAATGTAATGGAAATCTCTTGCAAGCAAAGGAGGCTGCTGGGAAAGCAGGTTTATCTGAGACGGATGCTGTTGCTATTTTGGTGTTTGTTTTAGTCAGCCGAAAGTTCATACCAGGGACGCATTTGACCACATTCTTACTTCAAACTTTCTGGCTCCTGTAGATTCTATTTCAAATTTTGACAGCTAGAAACCTGTTAGCTTTACAGTTCCCAGAATTTGGATAGCCTGAGCTCTAGCTGGTTTCGAACTCTGTTGGACTTTTTCCCCATCACTTTTTAAAACATTTCTTCAGATCTTCAATCTCTCCATGTTTAATGTATGAGGCTGACTTATTTTTAAAATCTGATAAGGGTCAAATCATTCTCACTCCTGCTTGATGTAAGATAGTTGTCAAAAGTATAGGCTGGGCGCGGTGACTTATGCCAGTAATCCCAGAACTTTGGAAGGCTGAGGCAGGCAGATCACCTGAGGTCAGGAGTTTGAGACCAGCCTGACCAACAGGGTGAAACCCCATCTCTACTAAAAATACAAAAATTAGCCAAGCATGGTGGTGGTGTCTGTAATCCCAGCTACTCAGGAGGCTGAGGCATGAGAATTGCTTGAACCCAGGAGGCAGAGGTTGCAGTGAGCTGAGATCGTGCCATTGCACTCTAGCCTGGGTGATGGAGTGAGACTCTGTCTAAAAGAAAAAAAAAATAAATAATATATATATATATATATATATGGTGCAGAGATCTTTAAATGTTATTGCCAGATTAAGTGTGTGTGTAGAAAAAATCTGGACCTTACACTAAATTATTAACAGAGGCCACTTTGACAGAAAGGTGGAGGTGAGTGTTCTATCTGTATCTCTTCTGCTTTCTGCCTTAGTAAGTAAAATTCTGACCAAAGCCACATTTTCACATATGTCTATAATGTTTGCAAAATTTTAAATAAGGGATATGTATTACTTCTGTGAGAAAAAAGGGAAAAAGGGAAGGAAAATAATAAAATACTTTAAAATGTATCACTTGTTTAAAAGATGGATTTCTGTTTAAATAGAAATATCATTTCCAGGGTAGCTCATCAAACTCTCCAGCAGGATACCCAGTGACAACATTCTTGGAGAGCAAGCACACGAGAGAGCAAGATGCATTATGTCATAAGGAGAAGCTCTCAGCTGGCCCGAGAGCCCACATGGTATCTGCCCCCTCCAGTTTGCTGCTCTTGGGCCTTTTGAATTCTTCCCGATATCTGCTCTGAATCCCCAGAGCCACAGCTCCTTCAGAATGGCATTAGTACGATCAATACTGTGCAGTAGAAATGTTACGTATGGTAATAATTCCTCTGGAGTGAGCCGAAGCTAGCTTGAGTCCAAAGCTTGAGTCTCATTACTCATTTCCGGTATCTCATTACTTATCCTTTAGAATCATATTCTGTAACTGTCTCAGGTTGAATAATATGTCTGTCTTTATCACAGTAAATGAGAGTTGCCATTATATATTCCTCCATTCCATTTTTCTTATTGTAGAGTATATCTTTCCTATCTCCTTCTGTGCTGTCAGTTGAATTGTTACTGTTAATGACAGACTAGAAATCTTTTTGAGAGCTGTTATATTTCATAAGCCACTAGAATTGTTTCACAAAAGAGGGATGCATATAATTTCCTTAACTGTGTTTCTCTATCTTCTTGTGAGGATCAAATAAGATCACAGATATTCAAGCATTTTGTAAACTGTTGAGTATTCTGGCAATGTCAAGCATTGTTATTTTTAGTCTTGTGTGTATCCCAGTTACAGAAAAGACTCTAAGCATTCCTAAAAGCCAGACATATTTCCATCTATGCGTTATCATTTTGCTAGTATTTAATATACAAGGACATATGTTACACTCACATTTACTATTAAAATCTGTGACATCAACCACTTGCATCATTAAATGCATATTATATTTATTGTATTTTATTAATCTATCCTATTCTGATATATAAAGACTATAAAATAGAAAATGATTTAAAAACAGGCACTATCACATGTATGATGAAAGC